CCCCACCTTCTGAGGCCCAGACACCGCTGCTGCCTGGTGACCGTAGAAGAGACAGCCTGCTGTATCTTATAATGGTTTTGTCGCTTGTGGTCTGTGTGAAAAGCCGTGATTCCGCGGGGGAAGGGATGCGGTGGGGAATCGAATGGAGCGGAGGTTGGGACCTGTGCCGGCCAGCTCTGGCGGAAAGCTCATACTGGACGTACTCCTTCATGGGGACCACAGGTGAGGGGTCACCGGATGCAGGAGAAAGCGAGGACACGCGAGGCGTGAAAGAAGGATGCCAACCTAATTCCGCTTCCAGAAGCGTCCCCTGAGGCGGAGGCCCTTCTGTCCGCCCGAGAGCAGCGAGACATTTCAAATCTCCCCAAGATTCTCCACACTGAAAACCTTCTTGATTCCACTGAGAAATAATCACGCCTATGGCTTTGAACTAATCTTCTATGATTTAGAAAGATTACATATTTAGAGAGACTGGTAATTTTATCTTCCCAACCAGACTGTAAGCTGTCTGAGAAAAGAAAGAAAAAAAAAAATCCCTGACCTCTTTCTTTGGGTGCCCACACTCGTGGGCGTACATCAGAGGCCTGGTGTTCCTGTAACGCACGTCCTAGCTATCCAACACCCTGAAACCAGGGTCCTGGGCTAGAGCTGGGGATAAAACCCCCGGGGAAGACGCGGGAGGGACACAGAGCACATGGCCTGCCCACCAGACAACACCCACTCTGGACACGTTTCCAAACCCTGCCCAACCTCTGGTAGGCAATAAAACCAGCCCCAGGCGTTTGAGCCCCCCAGCTGAGCATTCGAATTAGGACTCAAACGTATTTCGTTTCTGGCTTCTGGTCCAACACCGCCTAAGAAACGCTCCAAGTCTCTTGTCCTCAAGCTTTTACCAAGGATCTTATCTTTTTTAAAAAGCCAGCTTATCTTCCCTAGGAGTGGAAGGTGGCCATAAATGCTGTCGGTGCTGTGACAGAAATAGAGAACCATGAGGCTCAAACCCGAGGCTCTCGTTCAGGCTCGAGTGTGTTGGGAAGGATGCCCCCTCACGCTTTCACAGATTCCTACTGAGATTGACATTTTTGTTTTTGCTTTGCCTGAGTTTAGAAAGGTTAAAAAAAAAAAAAAAGCGTTTTCTTGGAAAGGAGGAACTTGTTAGTAAGATGGTCCTCATGAGCAGAGGTCCCCGCGTCCTGGCCACCTGGGATGTGCTAAGTGCCATCCGCACATTCGTGTTCCGTCCTCATTCGGAACCCAGTAGAGCAGGTGCTACAGTTATTCCCATCCCACAGATGTGTTGTCAAGGCCCGCTTCGTGCCAGGTCAGACAGTGGGCACGGGGTAGGGTGAGGGTTCCAGACTCTGCCTGCCTGAAGAAACACCGGAGGCCCTTTCCCTCTGGCCGCACCACCTCCTGTGGAGCGCCCGGGCTGGTGTGAGGCCGGCCAGAGAGAGGACTTCCCTGCCCCACGGCAGCTTTCTGAAACAAGGGAATGGGCCACACACTCCCTGCTATGCAACTTGCCCGTGCACAACAGACATCAGATGCGAATTTGGGCAGACCCCTGATGGAGTTTTCCCTACGAAGCTAATACAGAGCTGGCTGAAGTTCTGGACTAGATTGTGAAGGACCAGACTGTCACCGTCTGCTCAAAAACAGTGCTGTCGACGGGGCCCCTCCGCTACCTTCCTGCCCAGGTGGCCTGCCGTGGAAGTCATTATTTCACAGTTACTGGATCACACAGTGTAGGGGACAGGGTGTGAGAAAGGTTCCGGGCCTCAGAGAAAGTGACAAGGCCTCCCCTCACACACCCGTCTGGCCAGTGCAAATCCAAAGTTAAGTTTCCAGGGTCTGTATGAACATGCACCATCCTCCAAAACTGTGAGATCCCCAGGGCTCTCGGCTGGCTTCCCAGTGCACTCAGGGACCAGCTATAAATCTTAACACTCGCCTGTGGAGAAAATAACCCAGAAGGAAGATCTGCCCCCACCCTCTGGAGTCATAGAATTCATCCCCAGGAAAATCTAAATCTGGGGTTAGTTTGCATCTCTGCTTCCCTCCACTGGGACGCTGAATGAGATTGTTCTGATAGCCACACGTGATGTTCGCTTTTGGAAAGCCTAGTGTGTGTCGTCTTTCCCTCTGTACCGTGCACTTCTCAGGGAGCCCTGCTGGGTGGGCTCAGCCCAGCCAACCGCGTCCCTACAGTTCAGGCACGGGAACCGGTATCCACTCCAGCTCGGGGTGAGCGAGCCCTCCAGAGGCCGGCTTGAGCCCCAGAGAATACAAGCACATGAGGGACACCGTTTGCTCTACTCCAGTGAACTCGGGGTAGCTGCCGTTCGGGAACCAGTGCTGATTTCATGAGCCTCAATTCCTCAGTTCCTGCGAGCAGCCCAGTGAGGCAGTTCTTACCAGCCCCCTGGTGTGCAGGAGGCTCTGGGAAGTTCTGGCATTTGCCAAAGTCAGGCCTGTGTGTGGGTTTGGGTCTGTGGGCTTCTGAAGGCTGTGCTCCTGACCACCGCACTGTGTTCCTCCCGACATCCTGGAAAGGTTCCTGTTCCAGCCCGCACACACTGACTACCAGTCGGAAATGCCACCGCCAAGGCAACGCAGTTTCGCTTCCAGGAGGAGATACGGGAAAAGCAGAGATCTGAACGCAAACAGCATCCTGGCCCTAGGTCTGCCACGGAACTAGCTGTGTGGCAGGTGCAGGTGACAAAACTGCTTTCGCCGCTCAAGAGGGCGTGTCTGTAACAATGACACCATTGGACACTCTTGTCCTCTTCCTTGTGACATTCTGGATTCTACAATGCTGGGATTTGGGAACTTGCTACGAAATGTGAAACAGGCCGCTTTTGCTCAAAGAAAATGCTCTTTTACGAATGGAGAAGATGGGCATTTTACCTGGAGGAGTAGTAAACGCTGGAAACACCTGAGCACATCTGAGACCAGCAACTCCATTACAGATATTCAGAGCTGTGGGGGCCACATCCAAACCTTCTAAAGATGTGATCAACTAGGAAGACCCGCCCTGAGGCACATCTCCTCAAAATTGGCTCTTACCCTGAATTTTGTCTGGATGCCTTATTCAGCCAGCCCCGCCCTCCGCTTTCTTCTCCTTCTCAAAACCCACGGCACTAAGAGTCACGTTTCCAAAGTGTGGCCTGTGGACGACCTGGGTCTTCAAATGCAGATTCCCAGGCTCCTCATCAGAGCTACTGAATCACAAATGCAGACTCCCGGGGCCCAAAAATATGTATTAAAAGGAAAAAATAAAGGGGGTTTCCAAGTGATTCTGCTGCGCAGTAAAATGTATGAGCTGACTGCATGCAGGTGGAGGCGACCCATCTGTCTCCAGCTGTATCTGTATTTTAACTGTCAAAGCAGTGCAGGTGCTGTGGTGAAGTTCCGGGCAGTCACCGCTGGCTCCGACAGGGATGTCAACAGCCTCTTCCAGGAGCCTCTCGAAACCAGTCAGGCAGGCAGGTTTTTGGGCCTTTGTAGGCCCTCGGTGCTCATGACTTTGGGAGCCCCACCCCACATTACATTAAACATCAGAAACAGGGGCGCCTGGGCGGCTCAGTTACGCATCTGAACTACGGCTCAGGTCGTGATCTCACGGTTCATGAATTCGAGCCCCGCATTGGGCTCTCTGCTGTCAGCTCAGAGCCTGCTTCGGATCCTCTGTGTCCCTCTCTCTCCACCCCTCCCCTGCTCACGTGCTTGTTCTCAAAAATAAAACATTAAAAAAAATCTGAAATATATCCATATTCCACACTAAATATAATGCTTCTGTTTAGGGAAAGGAGCTGAACGATTTGCTTTATAAATTATTTTTAAATATTTGACTAACGATGATTATTTCTTGGCAGTCATCAAGTATCTGCAAGTTAAACATTCTTGAAGTTGACGTGTTACAGCTAATAAAATATTAAATTTCGATCTTGCAAGGGTTTCTCTTTTATATTTTGGAGCCCCAAATTTATTTTTCAGGTCCCAAAGAGAGGCCTATGGAAAGCTGGCAGGCTACCTATTCTGTGCCTACAGGGTCTCCTGGATGAGCTGGCCCAGCCCCCTCTGGTTCCCTGGTGTAGGGGAGGTGGCCCTTCCACACGGAAAGGGGGAGCGAGGGAAGGAAGGTGTGGGTTGGCAAATCCAGCGTTATGAGGTTTATACTCCCCGTGTGGCAGTCTTCTGACATCCTTAGTGATTTACAGTCCCTTCGGGTCTCCCTGTCACGACCAGGAATGTTTAAGCACAGACTCTAAAACCAATTTGCACATTTTTTTTTTCATATTTAAGACCTCTTTCTTTTTTATGTTGTTTGTTTCCAATATTCACCTAACCAAAACACGATAATTGCCAGTTTTAGAAACTTCTAGAAATTCAGAAAAAGAAAAAAAAAATGTATCAGCCTGAGGGGAATGCGATCTAGAGCCCATCAACACTTAAATTTATGTAGTGATTGCTCTGCACCAGGCACCGTCTTAAGCATTTTGCAGATGTTAGCACATGAATTCTCACAAAAATCTCTAGGAAGTAGGCCTTATGAATGCCATTAGACAGACAAGAAACCAAAATACGAAGTTATTAAGTGACTTGCCCACTATCACCCAGCTAGGAAGGGGCAGGTTCTGGTCAAAACTTTCACTTCGTAAAACTGATTAAGGAAATGTGGTCTGAGAATTTCAAAGACCTCTCTGCATCATGTGTCACATCATCAGGTGTCACAACCCAGGGCACCTGGGTTGTGAAATGCAGCGGGTCCAGTTGTGGGGCCACGGGCTTGTGACTGCCACACCATGCGACTCTCCTGCCCCCTCTTAGATGCCCACTACACTGCATCACTCAGCAGATAACTTCTGTTGGGTGGGAACCACGTTAAATTATTTCTTCTTTTTTTTAATGTTTATTTTTGAGAACTCGAGTGCATGAGTGGGGGAGGGGCAGAGAGAGAGGGAGACACAGA